TCCCTCTATCGTGGTGGGTTACATGTTTTGAGATAACTTAATGTCTGCCCCGGCTCAAGGAATTTATAGATTTAGACTAATTCCTCCTGCATCTCCTCTTTTATTGCCTTTTCTTGATTTTGACTGGGCTACCATGTGCTTTGTTCTCGGAGGTCCAGTTACAAGGTTATTTCATTACTCTTGGTGGCTTGCCCTTATATCTTTGGAAAAGCAAGAAGCAACCTAACTATCAACTCTTTCCTCTGCGGAGGCTTTGAGTATAGGCTTTTGAGGAAAGGATGGTGGCTGAGGTTATCTTGGTTTGGTTTCAGCTCCTCAATGACCTTGGCCTTTCTATTTCTAGCCCTTGTACATTGTATTTTGTTGTGAACAGCCAAGCCTGATTACACATTGCCAAGAACCAGGCCTTTCATGAGCGCACAAAGCATATAGAGGTGGGATTGTCCACTATGTTACGCGACTGCTTAATCTTCCTAGGCTAGTGTCTCTCCAACTTGTTCGAAGCTTGTGACAACTGGCCTGAACATCAATGACCAATGCCTATATATGGTCACCACACACTTTTGGCAAAGCTTGGGGTGTTTCCATCTCCCAGGCTTTGGAGGGGGGATATTAACCCGAAGTCCAACCTGCAATACAGTCTAGGCCTAAGCACTGTATTAACCGGGCAGCCCACTTCATGAAACCAAACACAAGTTTTTTATATCTTTACAACTTTAGCCCATGTATTAGCTTAGTTGATTTGTATATAATGAAACAAATCTCTAGAACAATATAGATTCATTTTGATAATGTAACTTCTGAGAATAAATAAAAGAAATCCACTTCTTCTCCCTCTCCTAAATTCTAGGTTTCACTGTCAATTTTTCTTCTCGCACAGCTCAAATCCTCTCAACTTAATCACTAATGAGTGATAATCTGACCATTCACCGTAAAGTTATTGTTGCTTTAAAGGAAAGTGCCTGCCTTTATTTTTATTTATTTTTTAAAAGATAAAAGAAAAATGTTTTCCGTATGACATATACTTGCATAGGGATATACTGTCTATATTGGTTGCCCTTTGAGGTGCGGCCCTTCCCCGAATTCTGAGTGAACACAGAATACTTTGTGCATCGGGCTGCCCTTTCTTTTTGAAAATACAGACGCATTCTGAGTTTCTGACTCCTTAACTATACTCTATAGTAGAAAGTAAATAGCAAAAATTATCTCGAGTGTTTAAAGTGGCTGATGAGGTTATTGAAGAATAACGCTTTTCTAAAAGAATTTTCGAGCCTCTAAAAGAAACACCTTTGTTTCGTCGACTGGGTATTGGATTATAAATGGAAAGAGACTGAGTACAATATAGTTAGATGAATGCTAATTATGAGGGTATTGTGGAATAAGTATTCTATAAACTTCTAGGTCACGCTTCAAATACGATTGTATTGGAGAACATTTTTAGAAACTATGAATTTATCCATTTTATTTAACAAAATTACTCAAAATTAAAATTTAGAGGGAATGGAGTGGATGTTAATAACTTATAAGTAGCATCATGGTTCGCGAATAATAATACAGTTAAGACGATGAGAAAAAAAGAAAATTCTTAGCTTACTTTTCTAAGGGCAAATCTGTCTAATTATATTTTTGTGTACAGTTATTTTAAATATGTTTAAAGAATAGTTACAAGAAAATCAAATATAAGAGAGGTACGCAAACTACAAGGGATGTCATTGTGATAGAGCGAAATCTGGAGGAAGGTCTTTGAAATTATCCTTTAAAAAATGCTAATTGATGTTAAAACGTCTTTTAAAGTAAGTTTACGTTAAACAAAAAATTATAATTTTTAACTATTTTTCCGAGTAAATATTTTAGAACTTTGAAATCAGTTTAAAATCTTGGTTCTTTATCTTTATTTGAACAATATTAGAAAGTCCAATATACATGGTTCCAAGATCGATAAAAATTAATACTTATAAGTTATTTTTTATTTGAAGCCTTAATAACATAACTATAATATTTCATAATAATTTTTTTTATACTGTTTCGCACTTTAAAATTAATTTAAATTTAATTTATTATATATTCTTACGTATTTAAACTATGTAGGAAGTTTGAAATATTTAGAATTTTTTAATTAATTAACCATAATTAAAAGTTTAAATAATTTTAAAGTTCCTAAGTATTGTGATCTTAGATACAATTAATTGATTTTAAAGAACTAATTAACTATAATTCATCCCATTTTTATCGTTTGAATGTATTGAACCAAAAAATACATTGTCAAATTATATTTGTATTACTTTCCCTACTCAAATAATATTTTTTTTATTCATCAACATTAGAATAATTAATTAAAAATATTGAAAGAAACTATTTAAGAATAAAATATAAAGAGAGAAAAATAAAGAAAAACATTAAATGAATTCTGCAAATAGATAGAAATATCTAAAAGTGAAATAATCGATTGTTATACTCTAAAAAAAAATAAGAATTCTTGGTTTGGTAAAATATGATTAAAGTCAAATATCTAAAAGTTCGATGACTAAAAGGGGAGGTGGCTAGCAAGAGTCAATAATACTAACTACTCTGCAAGAACAAAATCCAAAGTTGAAATGATAAATCGTTTTCTTTACCTTATAAAGATTTTTTATTAGATCAAATTATAATTGCAGTTAAATATTTTGAAATCTTAGTCCTTTGAATTAACTAATATTCAAGTAAAAAAGACCCAAATTTGATTCTTTTGCAAATTCATGCCTATAAGAAAAAAGATATTTCAAGTTGACATAAGAAGAGCATTAGAAAGAAACCACAAAATAGAACACAAAGTATTAAGCCTAAAATTGACAAAAACACATAAATTAGAAGCAGTAGTTGTGACACTGCAGAAGACAAAATATATTTTAAATGAAAGTTTTTTTATGTGCATTTTCTACCAATAAATGACAAGTTCATATATTCCAATTTAGACTTTAATTATTTGCCACTTTTATATTATATATATATATATATATATATATATATATATATATATATATATATATATATATATATATATATATATATATATATTTGTTAAAATATATTAACTCAACATAGTCAATTTAGACTTTAATTAGTTGCCACTTATCAATTTTGTTCCAGGAGCTATAGGAATAACCTCTTAAGAATTTAGAAGTGCATTTTTTTTCAAGTGCTTTTCAAAAAAGTACTTCTTGTGAGAAACAATTTGTGTTTGACAAATTAATTTGAAAAGTACTTTTTAACAGTAATAAGTATTTGACCAAGCTTTTAAAAATACTTCCAAATATATTTTTATGCTTTTTAATAAGTATTTATTGGGAGAAACTACTTTTTTTTTTTGTTTCTTTAAAAGTCAAAGAAATAAAAACTTTCTCAAGACATTTCATAGAAACGTCGTTTTATAGGAGTATAATATTTTCATTTACTAAGCCAGCTAAACAGGATAATATTCATTATTTTCAAAACTTACAAAAAAGTTTATTTTATTTTATAACTTAAACATATTGTATAATAATATATATTTTTTTTTAAAATTATATACTCAAAAATATATGTTACACGCACAAATGTGCGTACCTTAAGATTAATTACAGTCAAATACTTTAAAGAAAGTTTATGTTCCCACGCCTATAGGACGAGCATTTCAAGATGTGAACAAATATAGAAGTTATTTGCGACGTACAAGATAGGTATTTTTTTTTTTTTTTCAAAAGTAAAAAAAAAAACAGAGAGATAATTTTTTTTAAAACTAGGGAACTCGTCGCTAGGGGTGTTCATGGTTCGGTTTGGATCGATTTTTCCTTTAAAAGAAACCAAACCAAGTAAGTCGGTTTTTCAAATATTAGAACCAAACCAAATCAATTAAGTCGGTTTTTTCTCGATTCGGTTTATGTCGGGTTTTGTCGGGTTTTCGGTTTTTTCTGTTATTTGTCGGTTTTTTCTTAAATATAAGACATACACTACCAAACACATATTCCGGCGACCACATTTTCAACGTAACACTATCAAATCAATTGTCTTTTGGAAAATCTATTATTTATCAAGATATATTGATGATAATTGAATCAAAAAGTGATGAATAATTTAAGGACTCAATTAAAATATATTATTTTTAACACGAAATGGATTCTTACACTTAACAAAAGAAAACTACCAATCAAACTAGAATGTAAAGATAAAGAACTGTACTAAAAGTGCAAACTATTAACATTTACCATTAAATTTTTGGAACTTTGTATAAAAATATACATATGTGTAGGTGTAATAATAAATTTAAAATAACTACTCCTATAGTCGGTTTGGTTCGGTTTTTTTCGATTTTTTTCTGATTAAAAACCAAAACTAAACCAAATTTGATCGGTTTTTAAAATTCAAAACCAAAACCAAACCAAACCAAAAATTATCGGTTTTTTTGGTCGGTTTGGTTTAGTTTTCGGTTTGGTTCGATTTTTCGGGTTTTTATGAACACCCTACTCGTCGCCACTAGCTTTTGGGTACACTCTGGAAAAAAAACAGCTCCAATGCATTAACTCGCAAATCACTTTGGAGAGATAAACGGGGAAAATCAGAAATAGTCTAATTTATAATTGGTAATTGAATAATAGCTACAATTTGAAAAGTAATTGAAACTTAACTACTTTTTCATGTAAAGATAAAATCTGAACAAAAGTACCCTAAAAATTCAAAAAAATCCAAGCACAATATGCTGCAGTTCGAATTTTTTATATATGAGATTCAACAAAATATGCTTGAATTTCATGATATGCTGGAGAAAGTTTATAAGCAAGAGCTCCATCATCCAACATATTACGCTGGAACTTTTTGTGTGCTAGAGTTCCAACATAATATGCTGGAAGTTTATATATAGGAGTTTCATAATCTAACATATTATGTTGGAACTTTTTGTGTAGCGAAAACTAAATAACTCATGTTATTTTTATGAGATAAACCGCATTAGTCAAATATAATTAAGAAGGAAGAAATAAGAAAGAGAAAAAGAGAAGCGAAACGGCTAAACCCCAAATTCAAAACCCTCCTTTGATAGTAGTGACGTTCTTCCAAAATAGAGCGACAGTCACAGATAAGGAAAACATCCACACTCCCCAAACCTCAACCTCAACCTCGTTTTCGCCGGCGTGAAGAAAATGGCGAATATGAGGACGGCGATGGACGCAGCGTTTTGGGACCTCAACATATCTACACCAAATGCCCTAGACTCGACGGCCCGGTCCATTCCTGGAGAGCCCAAACCGCTGGATGGCAGCAAGGCCAGCAGAGCCCTCAGAGTCCAACAACTCTCTCTGCTCGGAAATGGGTTTCCTCTGGGAATCATTCCCTCTTATTCTCCCACTCCCAATAAGGAATTGGGCTCTTTTGCTCTTCAGTCCCTTTTGTTTAAAGCTTCCACTTCTAACTGGTAATATAACTACTATTTACACTTGAAATCCTTACTCTTTGATTTTGTCAAGATGATTTAGTATATTTCATTTAGATTCAAAATTTTGTCTGGATTATTTCTGTTATCTCTTTAAAAAATGTGTTGGGGGGACATAGCAGGTAACCCAGGAATTTGTGTGCAAGCTAGTCCAGACACCACAATCAAAAAAATAAAATCACGTTTACTACTATAAACGTTTCCTCTATAAGGCAAAATGAAATTGAACATGTACAAAATAGTTACTGAATTCGACTTGTCTAGGTGGCAATATATTGATGATCTTGAATTTGAACTTGCAACTGCACATATTTCTTCAAGGACACCAAGCTGTCTAAAATACGAAACAGAATTAGGTTGATTGAAAAAAAAAAGCATTTATTGTTTAAATACACAAAGTTCTTATACTTGAAATGGATGAATTTTTACCAAATAAAGTTTTTGAGGAAAAAAATGAGTGCCTAACGCGATGTACTTGGTGCCTGGGCAAAAAGCTTTGTTTCTTAAGTAGAAGAGTGTTTTCAACTAATTTCCACAACCACATTGTGATAAATGCACATCCTGGAAACAGTAGGGAAGTAATGTGCTTTTTCCCAAAGTTCTTTATCCATCAGGTGTTTTGCTTCAAAGCGTAGCACTTTTGACTGTGTCTTCCAGCTAGACATTTTTATGATCTTCACTTCTTTCATAGCTGATTGCTTATTCTGTGCTTGGACAACCACTGGTCAAAGAGGCTCTACTGACTATTTTTGCTCCCCCAATTTGCTGCTTTCTCCCTATATATTGCCCCCTCTTTATATACAATAGATGAACTATTTATCTATGATTCACCTTCATAGGTGGCTTGGATTCATAGGTCAGTTTCGGCCAAAGAAACTGTTTTCTGACATTAAAGCAGAGTTATCCAGTGTAGATGAGTGGGAGCTGCCAGTATTAAAAGACATTGGCAAGCATTTCTTGGAAAAATCACTTTATGCCTTTAATGTGTGCTCACAGCTATCCCTGACACCCTCTTCTTCTCTGTTATTGAGCACTGAAGAACACGGTGAGAAGAAAGGACGGCGCTTCAGGGCCATGCTTCTTAATAAGGCAAGGATCTGAAGTCCTTCAACATGTGGTGCTCTACTATTGGAATGCTATCTTTTATTTCCTTATATGCTTTCGTTAAAGATGCATTTTTGCTCGTTAATGTGCTTCCATTACTAACGTAGGGATGGCAGTGCTGCATCCACAGTAGTCAACATCCTATGAAAAACCATAATTTCATAATGCCACGTTAAAAAACTGATTTTGATGTGCATAATATCTTAGTATACAAATTGACAAAATTGCCAAAGTTTGCCATTTCTCAAACATTTAGTTCTGATTAAGCTTGGTGGGTTTTCAGCTTAAAAGATAATATTGATGCTTTTAGATTTAGTAAATGATGACAGGTTGTGGCATGCATTGTTGGTCTTTTTATTTGATCCTTTAAGCCCGTTTGCGCATCAAAGTAGGTATTAATAAATGTTGTGCCTCTATTTTGTTGGTTGTTATTTTTCTGTTTTGTTCCTAGATTTGTATCTCGTTTAGGACATGCATTAGTATCCCTTTGCAATCCCAGGCTTTAGCACACTGTTAGGGGTCATTTGGTTTGACGTATAAGGAGAAATAATCATTGTATAGAGTAGTTTTAATAGTTTGCAACGTTTGATTTTTATTTTCTATTCATGTATAGTTGATCTTTGTATAGAATTATACACCAATTGGTGTGTTAGCTTATCCCATGACCAACATGGAATAACTAATCCATGTATAAGCATGGATAAAACACCAAAAACTATCTATTGTCTTTTTCTTAGAAGCCTATCAAGGTCAAGTATCCCAGGCTATAATTGTAAACTCATTATTTTTCCGTTTAAAGATAAACAAATATTTTAAATGATATCTTGTGTATCCAAGTTTAGTACAATGAACCAAACGCCAGCAAGAAATAATCCCCGCATTACTATTTACTAATCCCTACATTATAATCCATGTATAAATTGTATTTGAACCAAACAACTCCTTAGAGTTTTGGAACCTAGAAGGCTACTTTACTTATTACTTCCTTTGGTGGTACATTTCGGCAATGGCAATCATGGGCTTTTCCCTGTATAACTAAGCTAAATGATATTTCGCTTAGTTTTCTCACTTTTGTTTAAACAACTTGGAATCTGTTGCCTCTTTGTTGAACTGGAATAATTCAGCAGAGAAACAAATCCTAAATTGCTTCCGCTGGAGGACAATAAGATAAGGAGAAGTAAAGGTTCCCTGTTTTATTTCTCCTAGCTCGCTTTTTAAAAGATGAATCTTCCTGCAATTTGAGAATACCCAACTTATTAAAGAAGTTAAATATTGAACATCATAACATACATATAACTATGAATGAGTCTATCATAGCGTGCTCATCTATGTGGTTTATTTGTATTCCCAGCTTATGGGCTTTTACTATTGTGATGTTTGATTCACTATTCTTCCATATTCATTGCAGCTTCCTGAGCACGACGTTACTTTGGAAGCAGCATGGCCTGAGCTATTCATAGACCATAAGGGAAGATATTGGGAGGTCCCAGAGTCAATATCCTTTGACTGCTCATCGCTGGTTTCCGAGAATGGATTCCGATATCGTTTTGGTTTACATAAAAATGGTGGCCATCCTCAGGCTGTGGATAACATTACCGATGAGCCACCACTCAATCTGATGCAAGGAATATGTGGAAAAGTTGCCTTTTCTTATGAGAAAAGCGAAGATCTCTGGAGAGTCAAGGAAAAAAAAGAGGACATTGTTATCGAGACAGATAAGGGACGGATTTATCGCCCTTCTTATGATATTCGTCTTAGAGAGCCTCATGCAGCAGTATCTGGAATTATTGGTAACTTCACTGGCCACAAAAAACTATAGTGTACTTGATTTGATATAGCTTAATAGTTTCCAGATTGTGTTATGACATTGTTTGCTGAACTACACTGTGATTATCTTTTATGCATACAAGATCTATATCTAAACCTTCTAACTGAATTTGAAGTATCAATGGACTTGGAATTTAAATTTCCAGCACAGAAGATAAATGTCTAGTTTATTCAAATATACAGACAGTTTGAAATTATCCTTTCCTCTGTATGAACTTTCTTGCCTTGCCTCTGCTAGAATCTGGGGTTTCAATTATTTCTGTGGAGTTATTTTGTACTCAATGTGAAACATTTTAAAATAATTGTTACATACATTTCAGAAGTATTGTGTTCTTTACTTTGGTAACTAAATTGACTTAATGGGTAGGTTAATTCTTGAGCATGTTCCTGGAATATTGCAGAAGCGAACAATATTTTCCTTAAAAAATTCTGACCAACTTTGTTAATATCTCATGAGAGCTTTGAATCAGTAGAACTCCTTCAAGTTTCTTAGCAGCATCAGTTCTTATGAAATTGGTGGGGGTGACAATTTCGTGTATATGTGATGCTATCCAGAGTGCTACTCCAAATTCACATTGTAGCTTTATGTTCCTAGTCTCTTGCCTTATCTTGTACTTCAACTTGGTATAGGGGGAACTCTTGAGGCATGGCTCAACAATGATAGCAGTAGCCCGTCGGATTCTAGGCATAGAAGGCCCTTTGGTGTTGATTTATTTGGTTCGCTTTGTTATACTTTTCAACATGGTAAATTCAAAGAGACGTTCGGAGACCTCACCAGGATAGATGCTCGTCTGGATGTCTCATCTGCTTCAGCGTTAGCCAAACAGGTTACAAAAGTTTTCAGAAAAGCAGCAGCTGATAGTGCAAGAGATGTGCGCTCTTCACCCAGGCTCGAATTGATACTTCAGCAACAGGTAAGTATCAAATATTTGTTTCTGTCACATTGTCTACAGAGGTAATTTGAATGTATACTAGATGCGATTTAGACTCCATAGTCTCTGTAGCAAGGGAACACATTTGGAGGAGAAAACAAATAGAACTGGTTTTATACTAATTAGCTTTGTTACTTAGGAAACTTAGAGCCCGTTTGGATGGGCTTATTTTAAGCGACTTTTAAGCCATAAGTTAGGCATTCTAACTTTTGGCTTTTGGCTTATTTTTGTCATTTTTAGCTTAAAAACAAGTGCTTTAAAGCACTTTTTTATTTTATCGAAACACTACAAAATGGCTTAAAAGCTATTTTGGCTTAAAAACACTTAAAATAAGCCAATCTGAACGGACTCTTAATGGTGATTTAGGACTTGTAGAACTTAACTCTTGAGTGGAGTGCATGTCTAAAGCTGAAGTTGCCTCCCCAATGCCTTTGTGAATGGAATTTTGTTTTCTATATTTGCATTTTTTTTACCATGGTTTTATATTTATGTTTGTGTTTCAAATGCAGGTCGCTGGACCAATTGTGCTTAGAGTAGATTCAAAGTTTTTGCTCAATACGCCGGCTGGCAGGCCTGGCGTACAATTGGAGGATTTCATATGCAGTTTAAATTACTCTTTGAGGGTTCTGCAGTCTGGGAAAGTGGTAGCATGGTATTCTCCTAAAAGGAAAGAGGGAATGATCGAGTTACGCCTATTTGAGTTTTAGAACTTAACCCCCAAAGTTTACTTTTTATGTTGATTGCTGTGTAGTTAGAATTGTTATCGCTAGTGATGCTATGCTGTGAGCAAACGACCCTTGCATCGAATTCATAGGCAATTTTTGTTCGTTCTTCAATACTAGCCACCTTACTTTAGTTAATTGTTTTTATATTTTTCTGAAATTTATTTCTGAAAAATTCCTTATGTGTAGAGATCCTGAAGATAAAAAGCTATAGTACCCGAAGAACATTGAGATGTTCCAATCGTCAGAGGCGTTCTTGGAAAATTAAATGTTCCTATTTGTTAATGGTGTTATACGTAAGCTATTCAGGTTTCTGGATTTTTAAACATGCTCCATTATTGGTGATATGAAGTCCAACAAATAATAAATTTAGTCAGAGCATAGTGTCACGTCCTTAGTTAAGACGTGTGGCACTTGAAAACTCGCTCACGATCTTGCACAACTTGCTTACGTTCTTGCTATGCCAAGTCAGCTGTGCTACACTCAAGATCGCTAAGAGAATGGTAGAAAAAATACAAGAGAATTGTTAAAGGAAGCTTTGTATTAGAGAGAACTTGAATTGTTTGCTTGATGAATTACAAATGGATGGTCCCCCTATTTATACTAATCACCTAAGGGCTAGTGTGTAAATAATAATTGTTCCACAAGTCCTTAATATTTACAAGTAAGTCCCTGTTCTAGAATTTTCTACAAGCCTAGAAGATTCCAAGGACTTTCCTAGCAAATCCATAAGGGTCTAGGGTCTTCCTAAGGAAATATCCATATTTCTCTAGAATCTTCTCACAAATGCTAGTCTTCCTCTTATGTAAGCTTCCACATGGCATTAATATATGCCAAATAGTGCCTATGTGGCATGATGACATGGCGGGTCATCACACTCTCCCCCACCTAATATTGCGATGACCGCGGCGCAATGCTGTTGCATAAACTCTCGGATCTTATCTTTGAATTGCCATAAGTCTTCATATCGTTCCCACGTGGCCTCCTCCGGTGATTGCCCTTTCCAATGGACGAGGAACATAACGGTGGCTTGTTGCCCTTGTTTTCGCCTGGCCTGGTAATCCATAATAGCCTCAATATCCTGATCGTGCGAGGCGGTGATAGTCATTGGCGCTCGACTTGATTGGCCCCTACTCGGATCATCCCTATCTTCATGATATGGCTTAAGCATGCTGGCATGGAAGACAGGGTAGATCTTAAGATACGATGGCATGTCAAGCTTGTATGAGATCTTGCCTACCTTGGCGACGATCTTAAATGGCCCCTCATACTTGCGAATCAAATTCTGATGCATGCCCCGTAGTGCCTTGAACTGTCTTGGGTTAAACTTCACCATGACCATGTCCCCAACTCTATAGTCCGTGGAACGCCGTTTACTGTCCGCAAACTTCTTCATCTTCTTAGCTGCCTTATCCAAGTAGGACTTAGTAGTATCAAGCTGCTCCTCCCATCCTATGGCCATATGATAAGCTCCCAAACTCTTTCCTTCGAATGCAACTGGTAATGAATGTGGAGTTTGTGGTTGTTGGCCTGTGGCTAGCTCAAATGGTGTCCGCCCCGTGGACTCACTCCGCTGCAAGTTATAAGAGAATTGGGCGATGTCTAGGAGCCTTGCCCAATCTTTCTGATGCGCGCTTACATAATGCCTCAAGTAGCATTCTAGTAAGGCATTGACTCGTTCTGTTTGTCCATCCATCTGTGGGTGGAAACTAGTAGAAAAGTGAAGCTCCGTGCCAAGTATGTCGAACAACTCTCTCCAAAAGTTTCTAGTAAATCGGGGGTCTCGATCACTGATTATATGCCTTGGTAATCCCCAATACTTCACCACGTTCTTAAAGAATAGCTTGGCGGCTTCCTTGGCTGTGCAACCTGGTGAGGCGGGCATGAAGGTGGCATATTTGGAAAATCTATCCACGACCACCATAATAGTACCATAACCGTCGGACTTTGGTAGGCAAGTGATAAAGTCCATAGTCACGCTCTCCCATGGACGCTCTGCAACTGGTAGTGGCTCCAAAAGTCCTCCGGGTTGTTGTTGTTCAACCTTGTCCTGCTGACATACGAGACAAGTCTGCATATAACATTCTATATCATCTCGCATGCGTGGCCAATAGTAGACTGACTCAACCAAGGCCCTGGTGCGACGTTGCCCTGGATGACCAGCCCACATTGTATCATGACTCTCCCTTATGATCCGCCGTCTAATGTCTCCAAACTTAGGCACGTAGACCCGCCGACCCGTGGTAAGCAATAGGCCGTCTTCTACCCAAAAACGTCTCGTCTTGCCCTGGTTGGCTAACTCGATAAGTTGTTTGGCTGCCGGATCATGTTGCATGCCTTCTTTTATAGCCTCACGAATGTCCCAAGTTGCTGAAGTGATGGCAGCAAGCTCGGCTTTCCGGCTCAAGGCATCAGCTACAACATTACCTTTGCCCGGCTTGTACTCTAGCACATAATCAAACTCGGCCAAGAAGTCTTGCCACCTAGCCTGTTTTGGTGTGAGCTTCTTCTGCGTCTGAAAGTAGCTAGTAGCCACATTGTCGGTCTTGACCACGAAGCTCGACCCGAGCAGATAATGTCGCCATGTACGAAGGCAATGCACAATGGCAGTCATTTCCTTCTCTTGCACAGTGTAACGCCGCTCCGTCTCATTTAACTTGCGGCTCTCAAATGCTATGGGATGCTTATCCTGCATCAGGACACCCCCAATGGCGAAGTCTGAGGCATCTGTGTGCACCTCAAATGTCTTGGCAAAGTCGGGTAATGCCAGACTGGCTCCTCTGTTACAGTTGCCTTAAGGTGTTCAAACGCCTTTTGACAATGCTCTGTCCAGACCCATGGCTTGTTCTTCTTTAGCAGCTCAGTCAATGGTGCAGCCTTTGCTGAGTAGCCACTAATGAATCGACGATAGTAGTTAACAAGGCCAAGGAAGGATCTCAACTCCGTTACCTTTGTAGGTGCCTCCCACTCCTGGATAGCACGTACCTTAGCCTCGTCCATGCGTAGCTCGCCATTGCTAATGACATGGCCCAAGAAGTGCACCTTTGATTGTGCAAACTCGCACTTCTCCCTCTTGATGTATAGCTCATTCTCCCGCAAGACTTGGAAAACTTTCCTTATGTGCTCCATGTGTTCCTCCAAGGTGTTGCTGTAGATGACTATGTCATCTAGGTAGACTACCACGAACTGATCAAGGTAGGGATGAAAAATCTTGTTCATAAGGGTGCAAAATGTGGCCGGTGCATTGGTTAAGCCGAAGGGCATCACCAACCACTCAAAGGCTCCATATCTCGTCACACATGCTGTCTTTGGCTCATCCCCTTCAGCAATGCGAACCTGGTAGTAGCCCTTTCAAAGATCCACCTTGGTAAAGTACTTGGATTGCCCAAGTCTATCGAACAAGTCAGCAATGAGCGGGATCGGATACTTATTCTTTACTGTAACCTTATTAAGTGCTCGGTAGTCTATGCACAAGCGCAGCGATCCATCCTTCTTCTTCTGGAATAATATTGGTGCGCCGAAAGGTGCCTTTGATGGGAGAATGTGACCAGCATCCAGCAACTCTTTCAATTGTTTCTTGAGCTCCTCTAGCTCGGGCGGTGCCATACAATATGGGGAAAATGCAGGTGGCTTAGCCCCTGGCTCCAACTCAATCTTGTGATCCACCTCTCGCCTAGGCGGCAAGTGCTTAGGCAACTCCTCGGCCATGACATCTTTGTTTTCCTCAAGCAACTTCTCTATGCAAGGCGGCAATGTCTCTTGAAAACTCTTGTCTTCCTCTAGACTTGCAATGGTTGCCACGAACAATGGCTCCCCCTTCTTGATCCCCTTGACAACCTGCATAGCTGAGATTTGTGCTTGGATCTGTCCGTGTGGCATAGTCATTGTAGGTACCATGCAAGATCCTTCTCGCTCCATAACCAAGAGACGTTGGAGGTAGGGGTCGATCAAAGTATGACAATGTCTAAAGAACTCTTGCCCCAGTATGATGTCAAAGATATCCATAGCAGTTACGGTAAAGTTTGTCATACCTTTCCAAGCTCCCAATTTGCCACCTACTCCATTAGCTACCCCACGAGCATTTTGTACCTCGGCATTCATGGTCTTGACGCGAGAGTTGGTCGGAGAAAGCTTCAATTCTAGTCTCTTTGTGGCAGCCTCGGTCACGAAATTATGAGTTGCTCCAGTATGTACCATTGCACGAGCGAGCTTGTTGTTGATGGTGAGATCCACGTACTGATTTCCGTTCTCGGTAGGTTGGATAGCTTGCTTTGTGACAGCACCGCATAATCCGATCATACCCAACTGTGTGGTTCCCGAACTCTCTCCTTGCGGCTGCTCCTTTCGTTCACGGACTATGGCGCTGAGGCTCTTTAGGTCGGGACAATTCCTGAAGTCGTGCGGCCCTCCGCATATGTAGCATCCCTTCTTCTCGGCCCGTGCCTTCTTCTCGGCGTAGCCCTGACGACCACTCGACTTTTTGGAATCTTGAGTCTTGGAGTATTGTTGATGTATCTCCTTGCCTTTGCCACGACCTCCCCCGCCTTTGACATTGTTAAACTTTGACTCCTTCCCATTGCCTTTGTCGTGCTTGTCATGCCTGAAATCCATCAATGATTCGGCCTCCACTATGGCTTGGTCTATATCAGTGACTTGTCGGCGTTGCAACTCCTGCTTAGCCCAAATTTGCAACCCGTCCATGAAGTGGAACAACAAGTCAGCATTGGTCATGTTGGGGATTTGAAGCATAAGGGTAGTGAACTCCTTGACATAGTTACGTATGCTCCCTGTTTGCTTCAATTCCCTAAGCTTGCGCCTTGCCTCATACAAGACATTGTTTGGAAAGAACTGTCGCTTGAACTCGGCTTTGAACTGATCCCATGTGCTAATAGTACATAGACCCTTATCCATGTCGACCATCTTCCTTCTCCACCAAAGCATGGCAGTCTCTGAGAGGTACAATACAGTAGTGTTGATCTTGTCCTCGTCGTCCCTCACTTTGCCGTGCCTAAAGTAGTACTCCAAGTGCCAAAGGAAAGTTTTCCACTTCTTGTGCATCACGAACACCTTTGAACACTGGGGGTTTGGGAGCCTCGATCTTGGCCTCTCTCGTCAGCACAACATTGCTGGCTGCCTCGGTCACGCCAGCATTGACATGCTCCTCGAGTGAATCTATCTTTGCCTTCATAGCATCGATAGTACTCAAAGCCTCCATGAGTCTGCACTCTAAGGCAGTGATGGTTAGCCTTAGTTCCATCTCGGTCTCTGTACGTCCCTCCAAGTCATTTCGGATACTCTCAATCTCTTCAAGAGTGTGCCCCTCAAGAACGCTAAGGGTGCCTTCCACCTTCCCCAAGCGTTGGCCAAAGATCTCCACGGCGTCCATCCCCGCGTTCATCTTCATCGCCCACTCTTTACCAAGCGAGACATCCTCGGGCAGAACCTCCACTTCATCCTCGCTCGCCTCAGTGGCAGATGGTTCTTGGGATGTAAGCCCTTCGTTTGACACAACCTCAGGTGGCACCTCGTGGCTCTTGTTGGTGGAATTCCTCTTTTTGCTACGGCCACTCTTGCCAGCAGCATCCTGGATGACGTTGGCTTGGGTGTTGGCAGCGTTAATTTCTCCGTCGTTCGCCGTTCCCTTAGTTAAAACCTTCGCTCTGATACCACGTTGTCACGTCCTTAGTTTTTAACTAAGTACACGTGTGGCACTTGACAACTCGCTCACGATCTTACACAGTTTGCTCACGTTCTCTATGCCAAGTCAGCCTTACTACACTCAAGATCGCTAAGAGAATGGTAGAAAGAACACAAGAGAATTGTTAAAGGAAGCTTTGTATTAGAGAGAACTTGAATTGTTTGCTTGATGAATTATAAATGGATGCCCCCCCCCCCCCCCCCTATTTATACTAATCACCTAGGGGCTAGTGTGTAAATAATAATTTGTTCCACAAGTCCTTAATATTTACAAGTAAGTCCCTTATCTAGAATTTTCTACAAGCCTAGAAGATTCCAAGGACTTTCCTAGCAAATCCATAAGGGTCTAGGGTCTTCCTAAGGAAATATTCATATTTCTCTAGAATCTTCTCACAAATGCTAGCCTTCCTCTTATGTAAGCTTCACATGTCATTAATATATGCCAAATGGCGCCTATGTGGCATGATGACATGGCGGCTCATCACAATAGGCTCAATATTTTATGTAAAGAAGGTACAGATAGTGAGTTAGCTCGCATCATAGTGCTCAAAGGCTGGACTTCAAGCCTATAAATTTCACGTCATAGTCTGTACAAAACTTTGCACTGAGGTTTAATTGTGCAAATAGGAAGTTTCGAATCCAATTTCGATATTAAAAGGATTACCAGATGTAACACAATTTCTCCACCTATTCCTTCTAGTCGAGTCTCTTGGTCTGTCATGATATCTCGAGTAGAAAGAATAACTATCCTCATCACGAGTTAGACCTCAAACCAAGTGATGCTATTCTGAATTTCCAAGGTATGCGAGATTTTGTTTGCAGATTTTGGTGGCTTATGATTGCTGATGTAGTCAAATATATAGAGAAGATCCAATTTGCGAATATACAGATATAAAGAAAATGTCTCCTTTATTTTTCTAGTCAAATTAAGATTTAATTTAGATGGTGCAAACGAGAAGGATCAGTTGATACTAGAAAAGAAAGGTCGATAATTCCCCTATGTTTAGATGATTTTTCGTATGATAAACTTAACAGGCATATAGCGACGAGTTCTGGGGCTCGTGAGAAATGGATGGAGAAGAATTGTCCTGACGTACGCTGGAGGAAATGGACTAAATTGTAGAATTGATATTTATGAAGTAATATTTGTTGAAGAGAAAGAAAAGAAGAATAAGCAAATTTAGCTCAATCTCAACACTAAAGTGTTTGTAAATCAGAATAACATCCACTAAAAATATTAATCTCAGCATTTTTGTTGTTCTACAAAATATGAGATGGTACAACACATCCGTAGTTTTGGTAAGAACTTAGAGCCCTAACATAATGCAAATAGGAGACAGTTTATTCAACCAAAGCAAGCAACTCGCTCTCCTTGCAGAAACAATGCCTTGCATCAGTTCCCAAATCCACCTGGATAGGTTGAGATATACACAGAAAAGCATTTAATTTGCCAGTAACAGACACTAATCAAAGTAGTTGCTGTGTACAACTAGTAAAACTAAAGTTGGCATACATCATAAGCTAATCTAGACACAATGCAACTAACACCATCTTTGACCCTGAAACAGCATTTCACAACTCCAAAATATTACTTACTCTAGCAATTTAGAGCCGATCACAACATTAAAACACGTAGATGTAGATTCATTTTTCATTGTTCCTGTTATAACTAATTAGAGTCATACTTTAGGCGTTCACAAAGTTTGGGCCATTTGGCAAATTTCACATCTTTAAGGGCATCTAAGTTGGATTTGCTAACTTATATCCGATAATACACCATATTGAAAGTAACTATTCATTGAACACCAGCTATGTCCACCACCCGTGTAGAGGGCTAACAACCTATGGACTAACATCAACTGCTTTGGCAACCAACATTTCATTAGCTTAAAGGCTATTTCTGGAAGCATCCCACCACGAACCCTGTTTCAACCCTCGCTCAAAGATATGAAACCATTAACCTACCTTCCACCAAGTATGACATTACCAAATTTGAGAATATCGAGAACTTAACATGGATTTAATAGGACAGCAGTTCGGAATACTCCTCAAGGATGTGATGCCCATAATCCAATCAAGTCTGTCAGGGTAACAATAGTTGAGCATTCTAGATAGACTAAACTAGCAATAATAAGCAGATTTTACGATAACAGCCATTTGACACTTCAATAACCAAGTAAGGTGAACTGTTGATCCCAAGTATTCTTCTTAACTGCAAACCCTTTACTACATCAAATCTCTATTTATGAGGAAGCCCGATCTTCAGAATTAATTTTATAGGCTTCCGTGTCACTCAGTAAATCCCTCTCAGGTAGGTGACCTCCAGTTGCCTTCTACTAATGTTATCAGGTAAGACTAGTTCTAACAGTCCCGTTATTCTTATACTCCGTGATCCCTAGATTAATTAAAACACTAAATGATACTAAGGGAAATAACACGGACCACAAAAGTCTTGACCATTTTCCAACACGACTGGCCTATCAAAACTAGAAGAGATAAGTAATGATTTTTCAAGAGCACTAGTTTGCCAAGAAGAGAATTTAGATCCTTTCAGCAAGGCAAAAAAAATGATAAAGTACGAAACAGAGTGGTGCTTAGGCATGTCAATAAACACAATTATAGATCAGCTCACTACTAAACCGCATACCTCGTAAGCGTTGATGTCAGAGAAAAGAACCTGCAAAAAGAACCATATCATTCATTCGGAAGAACATACACAAAGGATCAGTAAAAAAAAAAATTTAAGAAGGATCAATAACGCAAGCCATCATCCCCTCCACCAAGGGGTGGAACTTGGAACTTGGAAAGAGAGATTAGCAAAGCTCTATGACTTGACAATTCTTTCCAAAGAAACTAGTACCATGAAGCATACAAATAAAATAAAAATGAAATCTTCATCTTTGATAGAAATTCACGACATCAAAAGCTCCGAAAGACTTACCTTCTTCCCCGCCTCTACTTGAGCAACCTCAGCACCAACAGAGAGAACCTAGAATTAACAAAATTGGTCTCAGTGAGTCATCAAAAGGATATTTAATACCATCATATGCATCTCCAATCTGTCCAAATGAACAAATAATATGCATAAAACTTACTTCTCCCATAAGATAGCGCTCGAATTTCACTGCTGATTTTGGAAGCAAAACTCCACCAGCAGATTTCTGCACGCAAACTCTTTCTTTCAGTGAATATTACAGAAAGGTCTCTGTACTGCTGTGTATCTGGTCAGTCTTATATAACAGTAGACAAACCAAAATTATTTTATGCTAAGCATATATGTGCCATAACTCATGTAGGTAAAAAAAAAACTTGCAAGTTGCATCAATACATCATCCAGACTTCTTTACTAGCACGTATAAGCTGTTTCTTTTCAGTTAACCGATTAAAATTTCTAGGAGCATATTACAAACAACAAGTCACATAAGAAACAATCATAAAGAGGAATAGGTGTCTGGAAGGACACATAAAGTAGAAAGGAGTGCTCATTGAACTCTAGAAGATCTAGTAATGCTTGTTTAAGCAATATGAAAAGTAGAACAATTTAGTCATGTATGAAAAGTGTAGTACAAGTTCACTGAGAAAAGTTTTAAAAAGATTAATACTCATTCTGGATGAAACCATAGCATGATGAATCTATATATACATATAACATGCTGGACTAGTATGTCTTTTCTTCTTTTTTCACAAATGAAGCGTCACACGCATACATTACATCCATATGATTTAAGCTAGCTTAATCCTTTATTAAAATTAACCTTCCCCTGATGTACAGTATAATTCATTGGCACCAAACATAAATCCAGTTAACAGTACTTCTAGATTATTAAGTTTGCTCTCATGGAAAAAAAACAAAAAGACAAACTTTTGTCATGCTACTTATTGCAAAACAATCAAGAGCCTCAACAGAAATTAAATTACACAGTCATATCTAGTTGTGAAAACACAATACACCACAATGTGGTGCCCAAATCACTGGTTTCAAAAGCACTAACGTGATAGCACCTTTGCATGATACGCAAGTCCAGTTCTTCCAATATTATACAATAAAATTCAACTAGGTAAATTGGCAAAAAAGAGAACAATTAAGAGACAACTGTAAAAGTACCTCAGACAACTCTTCTAACCGAATTAAAACTCTATCAGCTTGCGGCACAACCTATATTCAAAACAAACAAAATAAGTAACCAAGCTACCATTCCATAATTTTCCTACTTCAAATACTAACAAATAACAAAATTGTTCACATTGACTTAAAGGAGTCACCTTTGTGGGTTCCCATTTCTTAGAAATGGCATTAATTCTCAAAGAATTTCTCTTCAGACCTGCACAAAATCGAAAAGGGGGTAATGAGAAAGTAAAGAAAATAACAAGAAAACATAAAAATTACAGTTTAGCTAAAGGGGAATTCCTATCAAGAAAGAGATTGGGTTGTGAGATATGTACCTATAGGTCTTTGGGTAGAGAAAGAAGGAAGATTTGTGGAGTGAGAAGTGAAGGGTTTAGCCACCGTAATGAATGTAGAAGCCATGGATAAGGCGAGAGCAGCTGCTGTTTACAGTGTAGAGAATAGAGTATAGTAGGTGTTTGGTGACCCAGTCCAATAAGGGCAATTAAAGGGGTTGTGAGGGGTATAATTGTAAATCCTTGTACAAAAGATTATTAGCTTCGTCTTTGTTCTAGATTGTTCGGATTGTAATTTACAAATTTTACATTGTCTATGCTACAAAATTTTAATAGATTTGTAAAAGATGTTCGAAAAAAAGAAATTCAAGATTTTCCTCTTTTCAAATCAGGCATATCTAGACGTGCCCCCCTGAATTTTCTCTCCAATTTCAGTGGTAGGTAAAATCATCTATTCCTCCTTCTCATTTTTGTGTCACTTTATTTCTTATTCAAAATATCAAATATAAAAGAAATCATATAGATACATAATTAGGATAATATTTACGTGGTTGAATTGGGTTTTTCTATTTATAAAAAGTAAATAGAAAAATAAAATCCGGTCAAAAGGGATAATATATACCCCATACAACTTGTATACATTTTTTATTATACAAAATTCGGTCAAAATCTATAATTTATATACAACTTGTATATAATTTTTTATTGTGCAGAATTCGCTCAAAGACATATAACTTGGATAAAACTTGTATACAGTTTATGCGTTTTAGGGTATTCACCAAGTATCTATTTACTGTCAAGCTGATCAAAAGATGAAACAAAATATTACTATCATTTTAGGACAATTAGTAAAGAAGGTTGTAAAGTTTTTCTGGAAGTGCAAAGCTCCTGTAAGACATATATGTAGGAGACAAAAGAATGTGCTTTTTTTTTTACAGTAAATATTGAGTGAGGAGTAATTTTAGTGTATAGTGTAGAGTATTAAGAGTGGGCATTTTTGTCATTTCACAGGTCTTCTCCACTAACTACCGTGAGAGTGGTTATATTAGTTAACACTATACAATTTTCAGTCGGTTAATACAGATTTCCTCTTCTTCTCCTCCTTCTCTCTACTTTGTCTCTCTACGGCATTGCTTGTTCCTATAATTCATCAATTGCATGTGTATGAACCTGAGCTAGTGATGATAGATCTCAGATTCTATCATGGTATCAGAGCAATCGATCTAGATTTAGGACAAAATTGTTCAAAATTTCAGTAGAGCCATTGCTGAAGCTATTCCCATGAGAGAACCAGAAATTGAAGTTCCTCGAGTTGATCGCAATCATCCTTTGTACTTAAGAGAATCGGACACGCCTGGTGTAGCATTAATCGACATAAAACTCACAGGTCTAGAGAATCATGGTCTGTGGAGTCGAGCTATGCGAACGGCACTGTTGTTGAAAAACAAATTAGGTTTCATAGAAGGAACCTGTGTAAACGGCTCATTCAAAGGTGAATTAGAGAATCAATGAGAGAGATGTAATGTTGTAGTACTGTCATGGATAGGGAAAACAGTGGCGGTGGAATTACAACCTAGTATCATTTATGCATCAAATGCATCGAAAGTTTGGAGGGAGTTTAAGGAACGATTTGATAAATCAAATCTAACTCAGACTTATCGGCTATGGAAGATGATAGGATCATTAACTCATGGTACTGATTCAGTCACTGTTTACTACTCCAAAATGAAGGATCTATGGGATGAAATGGACTTGTTAGTGGCAAGACATAGATGTGATTGTGAAGAGACGAAGCCTTTCATTGAACAGTTCAAAAATCTAAGACTCCTACAGTTTTTAGTTGGCCTAAATGAAAGCTATAGTCATGTGAGAAGCCAAGTGTTTGCTCAAAACACCTGTTTTGACAGTCAATCAGGCATATGCCTTGGTCATACAAGAAGAGAGCCAAAGAACTCTTGGAGCAGGGGAATCTAATAATGATGTTCTGACTATGCTGGCTGGAAAAAATCAGACACTCAATCAGGGGTTTAAGACAAAGAAGCGAGGATTGATTTGTAAATTATGCGGCTATAAAGGTCACTTGAAGGAGAATTGTTACAAGATCATAGGATATCCTCCGGATTTCTAGAGTAAGAATGAAGCACCTATACAAAGAGTCAAGCCTTATGCCAATGTTGCTACAACAGAGAAAGGCGATACATCAAACACACAACCTACACAAGGGAACTTCTTTACAGAGGATCAATACAAGCAATTACTAAACCTTCTAAAAAAACAAGACATGGGTGACTGTCACTCACTTATGGCAGGTATAAATGCATTGTTATCAAATGCTTTTGATTGTGAATGGATATTAGATTCAGGGGCCTCACATCATATTACCTTTCATAAGAAGATTATGCATGATGTTAAGAATTGTAATGCACATAATGATAGTGGAGTGCAAGTACCAACAGGGTATAAGTGCAAAATAGCTCATACGGGAAATGTCTCTATATTGGACAACCAAGTTTTGAAGGATGTTTTACATGTTCCTGACTTTAAGTTCAACTTATTGTCTGTTTCAAAACTGACCAAGGAACTATGTTGTATTGCAATGCTCTTCCCTGACTTCTGTGTGTTGCAGGGTCTTTACAATGAGAAGGTGATAGGGATTGGTAAAGGAATCATGTGGATTATACCTTTTGCAGAGGAGATCAATGCATATAGCAGCAATGGTTAGCAGTAGTGCAAATGACTCAATCCTATGGCACATGAGACTAGGAGATCCTTTAGTAAATGCAATGCAGCATATCCAACAGTTAAGAAACTCAGTGGACAACAGAGTGCATCACAGTTGTGATATATGCCTCTTGGCTAAGCAAAGCAGGCTAAAATTCCCATCTAGTAGTAGTAAGGCTATTAGTGTTTTTTAGCTTATTCATGTAGATGTATGGGGACCTCATAGAATACCTACATATGACAGGAAGCACTATTTTGTTACAGTAGTAGATGATTACAGTAGATTTACTTGGATATGTTTGTTGCAATCAAAGAGTGAAGTAATAGTTGTTTTGAAGAGTTTCTTTTCAATGGTTAAAAATCAATTTGGAGTGACTGTCAAAACATTAAGATATAACAATGGCATTGAATTCTTCAATTCTAATTGCAATGAACTATTTTCTTCATTAGGAATTATTCACCAGAGTAGTTGTCCCTACACACCTCAACAGAATGGGATGGTAGAGAGGAAGCATAGACACATTCTAGAAGTAGCTAGAGCTCTAAAGTTCCAAAGTTCAATTCCTAATAGATTTTGGGGAGAGTGTGTGAAGACTGCTGTGTATCTGCTTAACAAATGGCCTACTTCTGTTTTAAAAGGAAGATCACCACATGAGCTTTTATACAACAAGCCACCTGACATAAATCACCTTAGAGTATTTGGTTGCCTCTGTTATGCTGGCAACCTTCCAAGAGGAGATAAATTCAGTCCAAGAGCAAATAGATGTGTACTGGTGGGATATTCAACAACTTTAAAGGGGTACAAGCTTTATGATTTAGAAAGAAAGGTCTTTATGGTCAGCAGGGATGTCAGATTTAGGGAAGATATGTTTCCATTCAAAAATTCTGAAGTGGATTCTACAGATTTATTTCCCACACAGCCAGAACTGGTGGTGCAATCAACCCAGCCAAGCACTGAACAAGAATCAACAAGCAGACTTGATGATAATGGCACTCAAGAACAAGTGACAGATGCTGAGGATCTAACAGAAACTCATGAGGATCATGTTGATATGCCACTTGATATAATCCCAGGAGAAACATTGCCAGCTGTTGCAGATACTTCACAAGACAGTTTAGATGAAACACCAATTCCTTCACAACCATCAGTTTAGGAAACAAATCATGATGTTAGAAAAGGAGGAAGAATCTCCAAACCTCCTATTTGGCTAAAAGACTATGTGACAACCAAGAACACTGCAAATCAGTGTCTTTATCCATTATCCAAAGGGCTATACTATGGGAATCTGACAACAAGATATCAATCTTATTTGAGGGCCTTTTCAGCATGTATTTTGAACCAAACTCCTTTAAGGAGGCATTTCGGGATGATAGATGGATTGAAGCCATGTATTAGGAAATACAAGCACTTGAGGATAACAAGACTTGGGAACTGACTGATTTTCCTAAAGGGAAACAAGCCATTGGCTCCAAATGGGTCTACAAAGTCAAGTACAAAGCAAATGGGAAGGTAGAAAGGTTCAAGGCTTGGTTGGTTGCTAAAGGATACAACCAAAAGGAAGGACTTGACTATCATGATACATTCTTACCTGTTGCAAAAACGGTGACAATGAGACTTGCTATCAGTATAGCCACTTTCAAAGGTTGGCCTCTATACCAAATGGATGTCAATAATGCCTTTTTACAAGGAGATTTATATGAGGAAGTCTACATGAGTATGACTCAAGGGTTCACCAAACAGGGGGAGACCAAGGTATGTAGACTTCTCAAATCTTTATATGGACTCAAACAAGCCTCTAGGCAATGGAACATTAAGCTTACTGAAGCTTTAATAGAGAGTGGATATAATCAGAGTGTATTTGATCATTCCTTGTTTACCAAGAAGGAAGGAGATGGCTTAGTAGTGATTCTCATATATGTGGATGATATACTAATTACTGGTAGTCATTCACATTGATAGAAGATGCAAAAATGACTTTACACAACCGGTTTAAAGTAAAAGATCTGGGAGAGTTGAGAGACTTTCTTGGAATTGAGATTCTGAGATCAAAGAAGGGAACATTGCTTAATCAAAGGAAGTATGCCTTGGAGCTTATTTCTCAAGTAGGGTTAAGTGGATGTAAGCCTGCCAAGACACCTTTGGAGCTCAATCAAAAGTTGACCACTGTGGAGTATGATACTCATGTAGGAAATGCAGATGATCCAGAACTTGAGGATGCTACTGCATATCAACAATTGATTGGCAAGATCCTTTATCTTACTATCACTAGGCTTGATATTAGCTTTGCAGTTCAGAGCCTGAGTCAGTTCATGCAGCGACCTAAACATTCACACTTGGAGGCAGCTTTTAGAGCGGTTAGATATCTTAAAGGGTGTCCTGGATTGGGTATACTGTTGCCTGCTGGTCCTATCAACATTTTGACTGCCTATTGTGATTTAGATTGGGCCTCTTGCCCTAACACAAGGAGATCAGTCA